CATGCCTGTGCCTGTGAGTCCCATAGCAAAAGAGCCAACCCTGTTGATGCTCAGAGCTTTCCAGCTGTCAGAGGAGCTATCACAGCATGATATCACAGCCAGGACCTCATTTATTCCCCTTGCTTATCCTCATCATTGACTTACAACCAGAGAACACCTAGAGCTGTAAAAAACATTGGGTGTGAGCCATGGCTTTAGTAGTTCAGCTGAATTCTGGCCAGAACAGGAAAAGATGTAGATACTTCCTGAGGAGGGAGGAAATTATAAAGATTAAAAAAACTTCTTAAGATGACATCCTGAACACAATATTGTCTCCACACAGAGTGGCACATGAATGCCACCTGATCAAGTGTTTAGAGCTACCTCTGGGTTTGGGGGATTGTGGTGATCCACGTCTGCATTCTTCAACCCATATCCTGAACTCAAGGAAACCTATACATTTGAGTCCTGGGAAATAAGAGCCTTTCACGTGAAAGGAAACAGCTCATATAGTGTTATACTTCTGTCTGTGCCCCTGAAAAAGCATAACTTTTCAGACCTTCTTTTAGTTGCATTTTCTTTCAGGGAAAAACAAACAAACAAACAAACAAAACCAGAAAAGCAAAAACCCTAGTGATTTGGTTTTCTGCCTGCATAAATGGTCCCTTGATTTTATTGGTTTCTGCCTCCTTTTTAAACCAGTATTTGTCCAGTGTTACAGCTAACTTTTCCTGGAGCTCCAGCACATTGCTATTTTCATTTGGTTTTGCTTGTACCCACTGTGCTACTTAAAATTCTACACCACACTCCCCAAATCTGTCTCAATTTCCCAACCCAAGATACTCATTTGCCTTCTAAAACCCGCCTTTCCCTTTTCTTGGCTCTTTTATTTCCCCGCTTATTTTCTCACCTTGTTCCACCCACTCCTGGGGACAAGCAAACAGCTCAAAGGTAATGATGTCTCCTAAGCAAGCAGCCTCTCTGAAGACATTCCAGAGTTTCCACATTTTTCTGTGTAGCACAGTTTCCAGAGTCACCTGTCTGCAATTCAACACCCTCCAGATCCAAGGACAGGCCTGAAATGATGCAGCTCAGACTTTTTCTCCCCCAAACACGTGCATTGAGGAACATTTAAAAAGACCAGATGGGCAAGTTTTCAGGAGACAGGATGGACTTTCAGTCTGACTGATCATTTTATGTCTTCCCTTTGCTACATTTCAGCTTTTGTCTTGCAACCTGACAGATTGGAGTGGAAGGACAAGTAACCACTGGAGAAGACAAGACAGGTCACTGATGAGGCCCTGGGGCTGGAGCCACATTTACTCCCCACAGTTTGCAGCCCTTGTACACAATTTCCCTTCGTACCATGCACCAATATAGCACCTTCACCTCCAAGAAAGCATCATTGCAATGACACCCTTGGGTGACTGAGTTGGTGCAATCAATTCTAATTTTTGGGGAGCAGGGCACAGCTGGAACAGGGAAGACCCCATGGCCCCTTCTCAGCTGTATTCAGACTAGTGTTCCTTCCAGCTCCCTGTCACAAGCCCCTTGAGAAAACTTCAGATGGAAGAGGTTGGGTGGTGGGAATGTCTGCTGAATGTGATGGGAATTAGGCCTGGCTTGCCCCAGAGCTGCGTGAGACTTGTTGAGGTTCTCTGGCAGCAGGAATAGCTCTCTGCTCTTAGTAGAGGCAAGGCATTGGGAAGTATCTCTCCTAGAAATAGAGACGAAGCATGAACTCATTTCTCTTTGACTCTAAACACTCAGATGTTGGTACTCTGTGAGAGTTTCCCCCAAACTCTGCTTTTCTTCCTCCCCTCACACACACAGTGGGGCCACCCCAGAGACCATTTTCCTACAGAGAAGATCAGCATCACCCATGCTGAAGGGCAGCTCCACTTCTGGTCCAGGAAAGGTACTTCTGGAAATGAGGTCTCAGAGTGTTCATTAGGAATGCAGCACAGCTGCTTTCCCTCTTCCCATCCAAAACTGTCATGCCAAAAAGGGATGCAGCACTTTTCATCATGTCTTTGAACACAAAACCATCTCCTCCTTCCCCTTGACAAACCTCCATCCAGCACTGACAGGCCAAAGGACCTAAAGCAGCAACAGGGCAGATGTCACACCGCAGAACTGCAGCTTATCCAGCTCTTCTGAGTAATTGTTCACAATTAACCTTGACAAAAGGACCTTTTTCCAAGGCAGTTAATGCACATGGTGGGGCTAGCAGTAAAGCAGGCAGGTTTCACATCTGAGCCACTTCACATCTTCTGGGGACCCATGAACTTCCCTCACAGACTAGCTATTCCTAAACATGCAGCACCAAGGCTCGGTGTCACACCCGGCTCCTGAGCTCACCTCGCTGCTGTGACTGTACAGAGAGATGGTGAAGGGACAGGTGATGGTGCTGGGGAGCAGGGGAAGGAGGAAGGAGGGAAGGGAGGATGTAGCTGCTATGCAGAATTGTGACAAGGGAATCTCATCCACCTGGAACAGTGTGTCTGTAGGTGATTTGCTAGTGTAAAAGCCTGTGACATTGGCCAAAAAAGAAATGAGAGCATGACAGCAAGAGAGAGGGGTGCATAAAATTGTGGCCTTGCACAATCTGACGTAGTGCCTGGGAGCCACAAGAGCCAGAAGCCACTTGGAGTAAGAGACAGGCAGCCCCGGGAAAGGGTTTTCTTTTGGAGATGCTGGACAATTAACAGACATTCCTTGTTCTTCCCCTGTGCAGAATATCAATTCCTTTTAGCCAAAACAACCTGCACACAAAGGGAGCCAGGACAGGGCAGGCAAATTTTCAACCAATCTTTTCCACTTACAAAGTTGGACCTAAGTAGGCAGGTGAGGAAAACTGGATGTCCTCTCCCACAGGAGGGAGATCCTGCTGTGGAGGTATGGTTTGGTACGCTGTTCCTGAGTGCGGACTCTGTGTGCTGGTCCACACCCTTGTCCACGACCATGCCATCACTGGTGTCCATGCTGTGGAGCAGCTGGTGCCTGTTTAGTGGCAGTCTGTCCAGCCTCCACTGGCACGAGTCTGTCCCACTAGCCCAGATCTCTCTAATATGCAGAGGAAGGTTATGTCCTTACTCCCACATGGTTACTGCCTCCCATCATGTCCCACTCCAGGCTTCTACTGCTCATTAAACAAGCACAGAATAAACCCTTGGCCACTGTTGCCACCACAATCCTCCTTGTAGCAATACCCCCTGCCTCTGCCTAAAACCATAAGTCAGGTCATGCAAGAGCCATGGGTGAGAGTTATAGACTGCCAGGAAACATGGGTAATGAGGAAAGGATGTAAAATCTTCTTTTCCAATGCAAGACATAAGCAGAGTCACCTATCTCCCCTTTCATCCTGGCCATGAATACTACTCTGGCCATGGGGAAGGAGCCAAGATCCCTTCTCCGTCTCCTTTTCCCCATCTGCATTCCCTTCCAGGAAAGTGCCACGTCCAAGGTTATTTTTGTGCTGGCAGTTATTGCCTTCTCAAAATTGCCTTGACAATGCCTGTGCCACCCGCTCCCTGCCTCCTGAGAGCAGCTGCCAAGCTGAGGTTCCCCCTTGTCCTCCATTAGCCACATGAAAAAAAGACCCAGAAAGGTTTTATATTCTCGGTCCAGTCTGGACAGGCAGGATGCAATGTCTGACTCAGTGTTTCCCCAGGTCGGGATCGTTTCCCGCTCCAGAGAGATGGCCAGTAGGGAGGATGCTGCTGTTTCTCCCTCGCTGTCCCCACCACCCCCTGTTGCTGCCTGTCAGGCCTTTCTCCTCATTGAGATGCAAGGCTGGCCGCTGTGGCCATCCGCTGAGCCGTCTGCTCCTGAAGGCACCTTCCCCTCCTTCCCCCCTCCTCCCGGGGCTGCCTGTGGAGCTATTCTTCAGCCTCTGCATTTCACAACAGCTCAAAGGCAGATGCATCAATCCTTTCAGGGGATGGGGACGTGAGGAGAATGGCAAGGGAGCTGCAGGCAGGTGTTGGTAGGTTCCCAGCCATCTCACAAGCCTTGTCCCCCTCCCTGTCCCCCGCTGGCTTGTGCCTGAGGCTTGGACTGAGGCATGGGGCAGGAACAGGGAAGGGAAGAGGATAGGGAGGAAGAGCACTGGGATATGCTGACCCTATAGACATGCCCAGCTGGCTTGCAGGCATGTTCCCAGCTGTCTGCATCCTGTAGCCTTAGAAAGAGGAGCAGGGATCCAACTCTGCTCACTAAAGGTTCACACCAGGGACCAATTTGGCCCTGGTGCAGACAGCTGAGGGAGGGGGAACAACTCCATGGTTGCTAGCAACCACGAAGGGTGGGGAGGAGTGAGGTTGTTCCTCCCAAAGTGATCGCCTGCGCTGGATGCACTGGATGCACTGGGCAAACAGCACTCCTGTCTCACACACTGGAATGGGTTGGGGATGAGTCAGGACTGGGCCTCCAGGACCCCCCACCCAACTCCTGTGCGCAGCCGCTTTGGTCCTGCTGCTCTCCCAGCACTGGCAGCAGCTGGCACAGGGCAGAGGGAGGGCTGGGCCAGGCAAACTTGCAGTCTGCGGGAGGGCAGCTGGTTCCCGGTGTGTGTTTTACCCGTAGGTGTCAAAATCCTTTGACTGTGTGTTCGAAAGCCTTGAGTCTATACATTTAAGAATCAGCAAATTAGAAAAATTGTCCTGAAATGTTGGAGGGAGGAAAAAGGCAGGAAGGCAGAGAGGGACAGGGAGGGCCTGAGAGGAAGGGATGGAAGGGGTTGGTAAAAGAGAGTTCACGCAGGGGCACTGCCCTGGCTTTGTGCCCATCACCTGTGGGCTGGAAAGGAGGAAGGGAGGTAAGGACGAAAAGGGAGGACTGATTTCACACATTCAGTGCATATCATACAACCAGGGCAAGGCTTTCTTCCTGGGGTTCCTACCCAGGATGGCATTGCTGCCATGGCCAGTCTAGAGCCCTGCCCAGCAGCCCGAACCATACTCACAGCAGGGTTACAATTCACTGCTTCATTGCTCGGGGGAAAGATACCTTCTCCTTTCTTTCTGTCTTTTTTTTTTTTAATTATATATATCTTTTTAAGTACTTTTTCTCCCTTATTTGTTTCTTTTTTTTTTATAGTCTTACAATTTTCTGTAACAGCAGCTTCTTTCTGTATTGGTGTGGAAGTTATATATAGAGAGATATCTATAAATATATATAAGCCAAACTGCCTTACAGGTTGTTGTTCTCTGGGATTTTTGTTGGTTTGCTTTTTGTTTTGCTTTTTTTGTTTTTTTTTTTCAGTGTTGTATGTGTAGCAGGCACTTGAGTTTATATGAAGATGTTTGCTTGGGAGCTGAGGGGCAAAGGACTTGAGAGGGGGAGAGGGAAGGAAGGATGGAAGGAAGGAGCAGGGACTTCCAACAAGTGGCCACTGCTAGCCAAGGATGTCCAGGTAGATTGGTGTGGCCTTGCCCAGAGCATGAAGGATCTTGTAGATCTCCTTGATGTTGAGCCGTTGCTGAGGTTCTCTCTGCCAGCAGCCCAACATGATGTCGTAAACCTCCTTGGGGCAGACTCTAGGCCTTTCCAAAACTCGGCCTTGGGTAATGCACTCAATTACCTAAAAAACAGAAAAAAAATAGACATTGAACACCACCTGGGCAGTTTCTGGAGCATCTCCTGTCCCAGCTACTGCTTGGCTGATGTGGTACCCTTTAGTGAATGGGAGCACTGAGAAGTCAAGAGGTCTGCAGATCCTCAATGTTCACCTGTTTGTGTGTTGTTAATTATAATTTTGCAGTGAAAAGTTTTTCTTCAGCTGGAGTTTTTTCAGATCTCAAAAACCTTCTCCATCTGACACCTACCAACCTCAATGCGCTCTCCAAACAGGAGTTCACATACAAATGAAATGGAATTTTAACTTATGATGTCAATTTTTCCTGCTAAATGAAGAAGGAAAAAAGTCTTAAAATCCCCAAAGTAAAGTAATATTTTGCACAGCTGAAATTATATTTTTCTTGCCTGAAAACCAAGAGTCCTTTCCATTGCAAAGCCCAGGAGAGTTTTACAAGGAAGAATTCAGAGCATCTTTTCCTATATACTTCTCCAAGGGCAGCTTTGCCTCATTTTGACATAGAAAAGCAACTAAAAGAATAAAATTTCATATCAAATCGCATCTGTGATGGAGAAAAAAATTTGCAGTGCTATCACTGTATTTTGGGTCAGGCCAGTGCTGCTAATGAGAAAAATGTGAGCTCTTAGAAAACATCGAAGTGTCTCTAGAAGGATGCCATTGGAAAGAACTCCTCTAAGTATTTGTTTGTGTTTTGTTTACAGGATGCATGCAAAGGGAAGGGATGATTTGTCAGAGAGCTGCTATTACCATCTGCCCTCCTTGGCTGGGGTTGATGAGTCCCAGCATTGCAGCCTGCAAGTGACCTGCCACACTCTGCAGATAAACACCAGTCCCTAGCAGTGTGCTGAGGGGAGCCACCCAGCAAGGGGTGTTTGGAATTTATCATTTATGAACAGTAATGGTCCTTCCACAGAGCTCAAGGGATACTTATCTCTTTGCTGTTTGCATATAAATATAGAAGGGAGAGATTAGGACCTGCTGAAAGGAAGCGAGGAAGACACAGCATGCAGAGAAGCCTGCATTGCCACAGAGCTGCTGGCTGAGGACTTGTGGGAGGAGGTGAGTTATGTTTTCTTACCAGACATCCTGGACATGCACAGGAGCCCTGTGGTGGGCTCTTTCTGTCCAGGGCAAAGTTAATGGGCTGGCTGAGTTGTGCCCTGCCTTGTTCCTCTGCTCAGATAGGGTCTCTTCCAGCCTTGAAAATAACTGCTGAAAATGTCCTGGGGATATGAGGCCACACAGATGGCACAGGAGGGAGTGGGCATCCCAGCCTTGCTAATGCCAGCACCCAGCAGCAGCAATGCTTGGCCAGCCTGGTGCCTGCTCATGGTCTAGTCCTGGCAGCTGGGACCTTGGCACAGGCTCATTAATCTACCTCTCTGTGGGGCTCTGCCACTGCAGCTGGACTGCCACAGAGACTTGCTCTGATGCCACACCATCCAGGAGCTGGTGGAGGTGCCAGTCCTCTGCAGCCACACAGGCTCTGCCCATCTCTCCACAAATGGTGAAAAACAAGCCAGATGAGAGCTAATGTGGCTCCCTCCCACCAGGATACTCTGGTCTGGGGTGGGAGCCCTCAGCAATCAGAAAGAAATGGTGACATTTTATCCCAGGGATGGTAGCAAAACAATACAGCCACATCTGTGCAGATGTTCACCAGCCCTCCCCTCAAGATTAAGGCTGGTTATTCTCAGTCCTACTGCCCTGCAGAGGAAACTGAGGCAGAAGGCACAGGCACAGCGGAGCTGTCACATTCCAGCATGCCTATCACCCATGTACGAGCTACATGTGCTCATTTGTGTGTGTTTGTATTTACTCTCACAGGGAAATGCAAGAGCAGCTCATTAAATAGCGTGACAAATAACTTCTGTCGCTGTCGATTCCGTTGTTTGTGTCTCTAAAATGTTTGCGTGTGCTACTTTGGGATATACAGTCAGGCCCCATTGAGCACACGAATGGGCAAGTATTAGAGCTGTAAAGCAACACCTTGGATTTGCCATCTCTGCAACTCACTTAATTAAGGGATCTGTATCCAGAAAGCAGAAAATGCACATTTCTCATTACAAAAGGTGAAATTTCTGAAATCCATTAGATACACAGTAGGATAAAAATGTGCAAGGTTCCCACACACTGCTATGTCAATGCATCTTTTTCCTCTTCTATAATACCCCCTGCTATTCTGAGCAAAAATCTTCCAACGCATTTCTGCTGATGTGCCTCAAACCTCAGCGCTGACACCCCGCTAATCCCAGCCAGCCTTCCCTCAACGTTTTTACAGTGCATCCCCATATTACTGGGCTGCAACTTTTGCTAGTCAAAGAAATAAGAAGGACAAACCAGCTCCTTGGGTTTCACCCTCAGTGAACTGGGGCAAACCACGTAAGAGATATCCTGATGGCAAAAAGCCCCATGCAAATGTACAATATGCAATATAACAATTAGCCTTAAAACGATTTCTCACAAACTGGAGACTGCAGTAAGAGCCTCATACACAAAAGGAGAAAGCAGAGGAAATTCAGGGCATGACAGTAACTCAGATCCCAGAAGTAATCTCGGTATCCCCAGTTCTGGCAGCACCCTGACAGTTTATCAGATACGACAGAGGTATGTCAGCAACTTAGAAAGGAGAGGCTGAGGATGGGCCATTATATGGTTTTTGCAGAGCCCTTTGATTCCTGCAAGCCTCAGTTTTCCCTGAGCTCTTAAATGGAGATAATGACACTTATCCTATGTCATCACCATGGGAGTGCCAAAGAGGGGACCACTCACATACAAAGTGCTTTGCAAACAACCTGGAAAGGAGAGATGGGAAAAAAGTACAGTTTTCAGTTGTCTCAGCACTGTTGTACCTCTGTGTTTGAGAGCTGGAACCAGGGCTGCTTCCCATACGTGAAGATCTCCCAGAGGATCACCCCGAAGCTCCAGACATCACTCTCTGTTGTGAACTTCCTGTACATGATGCTCTCTGGAGGCATCCAGCGGATAGGCAGCATGGTGTGTCCTCCAACCTGGGTGAGGGCAAAGGCACACGGAAATCTGAGTGGTGGGAGTCCTGAGGAATGGGTCAGCCCTGAAATGATGTGGACCAACTCAGGACCTGAGCTGTTCCAAAAAGCTGGGCTGGCTGCTGCCTCCCCAACCACTCATGGGTTTACCCACCAATCCCACCTGGTTAACATGACAGATAGGGAGTGAAATGTATCAAGATAAATGATGTCTTCTCCACCCAAAATGGTCTTGTAAAGAAGTCAGATGCAAAATGTCAAGAACATACTCCAGCCCTACAGTTCTGCTGAACCCAGGTACACAGGAGGAAACAAGTCTCCAGCAAAGCATTGCAGGGCCTCAGTGCTCCAAGGCACTCACCAGAAATACAGAGTGAGGTCTGTCCCTCTTCAGAAAGGTTCTCTAAAACCCTTCCACAGCCATCTGTGCATCACCTAATTGCATGAAAGGTTTTGTGCTCATAAAACTGTGCTACAGGCCTTTTCAGAGAGTGCTTTGAATATGTAAATGATTGAAGGACCGCACTGCAAAAAGGTGGTCTGTTGGTAAAAACAGGCTCTAACAGGCAGGGATATGCCCAGCATTTAATGGAGGAGGGAAATCCAGCCCCTTTGGAGAGTTTGGAAATGGAAGATCCCATGGGTGTATAAAAATGGGGTATGCCAAGCCAGGGAAGGGTACTTTCCCAGGTAAGGCTCAACCCTTCTCTAGGGCACATGAATCCAGCAGGTGTACAGGAGGCTTGCAGGACACATGCAAACAGTTCTAGAGTAGATGGATTTACCTGCGGATTCACTAGAGATTCCTAAACAAGCGTCTCTGAGCAGGACAAGTTTTTCTCTGTTCTGTCCTTCTGCTAAGAAGATCCATCTGTGGGAAAACAGCTAATTGCTACAGCCAGCTGGTGCTGGAAGCAGCAGGGCTGCAGGTCTCCGGCACTCATTTCTGCTGAGGGTAAAGTGCCCAAGGTTTTAGTGGAGATGAGAAAAAGCGCTTTCGTGGTGCTGCTTGGAAGGCTGCTTGTCTCATTACAGACACCAAAAAAGCAAGTGCTGATAACTTTGTAGCACTGCAGCTGAATCAAACAGGCAGAAATCTCTCTGGTCCCATGAAGGGTGAGGGAAGAAGGTATCTGCTGTCTAGGATTCCAGCATATGTGTGGCTATTCAAAATAATGAGACTGTTGTGCTCGCTCAGATGAAAACATTTCTTGTACAAACAAGAGCTCTCCTGTGAGCTGCCAGTTTTTCCACAGGTTTCGTTGACTGATTAAAGCAGAACTAGTGTGGGGAAGGTCAGTACAGAGACACTGCAGCGTTTGGAAGCAAGAGGGAGGTGTGTTGGAATAGGGTGTGAAAGTGGTAGGATGCTCAGCTGGCTTTCTGCACAGAGGGGCTCAGACTTCTCTGGGGTTTGACAGAATTTAGACTCAGTTTTGCAATGTTGTAGTCAGAGGACTGCAGACCAACCTTCTTCCTTACTCTGAAATAGACCCTCCTCAAAAAAGAGAAGGAGTTTGAAAAGTCTCAGGAAGATCTTTCTTCCTAAGTGCAGATGCCTGAAGATAAAAAGCTCATTGCAGCTCTACACCTCCTATTTAGAGATGGCTGGGCTGGTGTGTTCTCAGCTTGCTGCTCTGAACTCCCAGGAATGTTCTGAAGTAATGGAAATGGAAATACGCTTTTCTTTGTTTGTTCCTTTGAAACCCTGGCTGCAATTTCAGCTCTTTCCTGCATTCCCAGCTTTTACAAGTTGCTTTCCCTTCTTGTGAAGGGCTCTGAGGAAACATTATCAGCAGAACAGGGCATACATCAAACTTGATTGTGGCAAAAACTGTTTTGTGTTAATGCTTATTTTATTCTTCTTTAAGTAGCGCTAAGTCCTCAGTTTTCCAGCAATCTCAAGATGATTTACGTATTGCAAACCATTTGCAATATCCTGAACCTTGCAGGATCATTTGTGATTACAGGTAGCACAAAGTAGTAAGCACAGTTAGCTCCCTTTTGAACAGGTTCAGAACATATGAAACAGGTCCTCAGCTTACACAGTGTTGCAGCAGTACTGCTCAAATGGGAGGGCCCTGATTTACACCACCATCTGGCCCTGAAAGCATTGCAGAGAAGCCAGTAGTCCCATCTCAGTTCTAGTAAGCCAAAATGAAGTTAAGGTCTTCGGTCTGCTCTAGACACATCCTGGTGAAGAACTGCCAACAAAGTGACATAGACAGTCAACAGTATTCCCAAGGATGTGACGACACAACCTTGGCATAGCTCATACAGTGGAGTCTAGGGACTGCCAAAGCATTCCTCCCAGCCATGTGTGTCATGTGAGAAAGCTTTTACTAAAAATTAATCTGGTAATAATTAATAATTAAATTAATTTGGGGAAAAAAAAAACTAAACAAGCAAGCAATGCCCAGAAAGGTGTGGATCCCAAAACATGGCCCAACTATTCTCAGTGATAAGGTGTTCCTTGCAGAGGTATCCTTTGCATCTCAAAGAGGGAACCACATTTTTGAGAGCAAATGTTAAGCCTTGCATTTACTAGCTATAAGCAGAACAGGCATCAATTAAACTCTACTATAAAACCACTCCAATGTCTAGCCTAGCACATAAGGCTGACTATTACATTTTAAAAAATCACCTTTGCCTATCCTTTACTGCTTCCCTTGCAAACTGATTAGGATTAAAATTCCCATTTCACAGATGAGAAAGCAGATGCAGGAAGGCAGGGAAAGGCCCTGCTCTGAATCTGTGTAGCGAGTGAATGCCAAGTCAAGTCTTCCTGGTCTGCAGTCAGCCATACCCTGTTATTTGCTGATGTAGCAAAATGATTTAGAGTTGAGCATAGAGGGATTGTGCTACTGATGCCACAGGAAGCTGAGTGTGTCCAAGGTGACAGAAATCCTTTGCATAACATGTAGTAGTTGTGAGCTGTGTTTTGCCACTGTAGACTTGCACGTGATTCCCACAGCTACATAACTGTTTTAGAGGACCAGCCATTGCCAGAAGCATAAAAGCAAAATGATGCTATTAAATCAGGCCGAAAAAAAAGGATGCTCTTTTTTTATTTTGCAAAGCCAGTTTATAAGGCATGTCCTTGGCTTTGGAAAGAATAATTACCATGTCTTCAAGGAGAAGGTGAAAGTTTGTTTTAGTCAAACCTCTGCTTTCTCAGAGATGGGCCTGGCAGGTTTCAGAAATTAGTGACCATGCAGGACTGGTGTTTGTTAGGGGCATGCTACTTCTGAGACTTCTCTAAAACAGCTATGTCATCTTCCCACCCCATCTTCTCTTTTTCTCTGGGATCCAGGGATGGGGGAGCCCACCCATCACATCGGCTCATCTTCTAAAGACCCTTAAGGGTAAAATGTTCTGAAACAGTGGCACTGCAACATCGTCCCTGGAGACATTCCACAGCCTGGAAGAGGGTTTTGCTTGAAAGCAAATAAGACAAGTAAATCCTCTTCTGTTCCTCTCTTAAAATCCTACGATGCTGCCAAGCTGCCCTTTCTCCCTGTTATCTCAATGCTTCATAGACCTGCAGACTGGCCTCTTTATCCCATTGCCATGGTTGTCTAGCTTTGCTTGACATTTTTAGCTCTCTAACTTTCTCTCCCTAGATCAACTTCCCATGCCCACATTGACATGCTATTCCCACTGCTTTGCTCTTTCTGTTCACAGTGCTGTCCTGGTAATAAATAGAGCAATCAGTGCACATCCTCTGAGCGGCCAAAGTCTTCTTCTCTCTCCACTTCAAGATCACATTATCACCTACTCGTTTCCACCCCTTTCTGATGGATGCTCCCAAGTGCATGACCTGGGCTACAGCCACATGTTTCTGATACTCCAGGGCATCTGGCCTCTGCTCTGAAGCCTCATTACATACCCAAGCCCATAGTCTTGCAAGACAGCCAGTCACTCCCTCTGAGCAGCTTATTGCTGTATTAGATATGAACCTCAGGGAGCTGGGGGAGGTTCATGAAAGGCCAGTGTTAATGGCCATTAGGGAGAAAGATAATTACTTAATGCTAGAACAGCACTTTGAGGATGTAAAGCTATATAAGTGCTATGTACAAGTAGCATTATAAGGCTTGAGGTTTGTCTGCTACCAAGGAAAGCTGGTGTCTGGGGGGAAAATTCTCCTTGTCCCAGCTTTCTGAATGACATCCAGCTGATTAGGAAAGGAAAAGATGACATGTTATCCCCAGTGAGTTTGACAGCACAGCAGCAGGTAGTAGAGCAGCAGTGTTCAGAAAAGACTGTGCAACATATCCACAGTTTAAGCCACTAACAGAGATACAGCAGAAATCAAAACCAGAGTAGGGCTGAAAAAACCTCATGAGAACTTAGGACTGGTGGAAATACAGATACTAACATATTAAAGGCAACTTTTGATGGGAAGACATGTTTTGCCCCTCCCAGCCCTTATACTGGGGGCAGGGTTGTAGCCCAAAATAGCATTTAGAGGGGAACTACTGAGCCATTCACTCTATGCCCACAGATGAAAGTTCCTTCACTGATCTCAGCTAAAACCAGGATTTGGTCTCTGGCATACTCTCAGGCTGTGTTTTATTTTCCTTTCTGTGCAGTTTTTTTCCCCAATGTTGAGATAAAATTAAAAAAAAAAAAAAAAATCAGTCCTTTTTTTTTCCTTAGTCATTCGACATTTCCTTTCCAAGGTCATTTGACACCTTTCTTCCTGTTCCTGGCATACTTGATGGAGGCTCTGCTCCTACTCCTGCCTTGGAAAGGCCACAACAACCACTGCAGGTGGATTTGTACAGCAAAACATTATTTGAACTTCCTGAACTGTTGTGCAGGAAGTGGAGACATTTGAGTTCATACAGAATCACGCAGCAGTAGTGGAGACCTTGGCACCATTCCTCTCCAGGAAAATCCACTCAACATCCAATCCACTCAACCTAGTGATAAGACACACATTCTCTGATTGCCATCTCCATTCCTGCTGCTATAGGTAGGGATGACCTGGGATCTTCTTT